GAGAGACACGAGAGGCCGCGCTCTAAAATGAATGCAAGGGGCCACAAGCACAACAACACGGGGCATGCATAATTAAGCACCAACCTGCATGGGCTTAATTAAGTGGTTTATTTGGGAAAAGAACAACGAATGACTAATTATGGAAAATAAGTCACTCTCTAACATTAACAAATTTAGAAGCAGTAAATTTCAGACCAAAGCACTCAATTTATAAATATGTATTTGCCTCTGTTTTCTCAAAGAAAAATCTAATACAAATCTAGAGAGAAAAGAAATTCATGCCAAATCTAGGGATGACAATCTAAGTTCAGGATTCATCATTCTAAACACATCACATCCCTATCTGTTGTTTCTGAATTTTCATCCATCCTTGTGAACGAAACCCCGCATGCTGGGAACAAATAATTGCTATTTCTTTGCAGTGTGCTTGACGATTACTGCTTATCATAGCCCGGGAACATTATGTTTTCTTTTTCACTCAAGGTGGATCAAGATATAAGGATATTAACAATGCTTGACCTACAGGAGGAATCAGTTCATTATGTCCACTAAAAGGAAAATTTCATTTCATGATAGTATACTGCAAAAGGCATTCATGATCAACAATTCTCTTATAAAGCAGCAGTAAGCAAAAGATCCTACCTCACAGGAGACCATAGCAAATCAAATGCTTAACTAGCCTGCGGATACATGGAATCCTCAAATTATTAGTCAAAATGGAGTATGTATAGTGCCTGCAGCAATTCAAGATCAACATAAGTTCAGACTGGGAAACAGACCAAAGCTTAAAAAAGAAATTACGTTTGGATTCACAATAAGCTATCTTTTTTTTTCTTTTTTTTCCCTTCTTTGACAAATAGCCAACCTGCAGCTCAAAAAGAATCTTCCATTTTATCCCTATTTTAGTCAGACTATACAAGAAAACAAAATTAAGCATTCAATGGCTCCATAAAAACGTCGGACGAATCTTTTAATCAGAAAAACAAGATACAAATTCAGTGTCTATACTTCAAAGACTTCTATTATAAGGGAGCATCCCCGCTTCACTTCAGTTAAGAAAGCATTAATCTTCCCGTGACAGGTGTCAAGATATTGCAAATTACTTTTGACTCCAGAAGCCCAAGCAGTTGTCGAAATTTGGTGCTTGGGTGAAACCAATATGCTAAGTCATGGCAAATCTGTGTCTATCTATAATGAGTTTGCCTTTGGTTTCAGTTTATCTATAATGAGTTTGCCTTTGGTTTCAAGTTTTACTTCACCTGCTAAGTCATGGCAAATCTGTGAAATGCCATGGAACATTTGATTTCTAAACTTCATTGCCGAAGAAGCATTTTGCATAGGCAGAAGAGACCAAGAAAAGGAACACTTCAATATTCAAAGGGAAAAGGAAAAATTTACCTTACAAAAACAACAGCTCTAAACCGAGAAGAGCTTTCAATTTTCTAAATGATGGATAATCTGAGCTCAAAAAAACACAGAAACAGAGAGCTGATAGTAATTAAAAGTCCACCACTCGGGGTGAAGGGGTGGCCGTATTTCAAATTTGACGTTCACACACAAATACCAGCAGTACTTGAACCAAATGTAAAAGAGATTGCAAGAAGCTGGCACTTTTCTCCAAACCAAGTGTTATGCTGTGACTTTAAGCACGTCTAAAATCTGGTATTCAAGCAGTCAATCAAAACATTTGTTAGCTCAGCATTTACTTCCAATCTCTGCTGAATCATTTCTTTCAAGCTACAAGATTTGAGCAGAATTAAGTGAATCCGATCATCTAATATAATGAAATATCGTATTCTTTGTTCAATTTGAAAACCAAAATCCAAGTTATTCAACTATTCATGCTCACGCTTTTTGCATGCTAATTTTTCAGTCATATTTAGAGGGTGAGGAGAACTGTCAACAATATGTTGGGATTCTAATCTCTTGAAGATGAGAGCAAAGATGAGCGCAAACACAAGAATGAGCTTGTAGCCTAACCAAAAGATCTCATGCTACTGGAATCAAGATGTAAAAACAACACTCTCTGCAAAATCCAAAAACCTAGCAGAAGAGGGAGAACCTTCACCCAAAAAACAAACTGATCATACAAGTTATGACGAAAAGGCAAAACTGAGGGCATCAGAAAAGAATAGCATAGAGAAAGCATCCATGATGAGGAAATCAGATGACAAGGCTGGTGCGACAAGTCTCTGTTTCTCTTTGAACCAGATCCACCCGCAACTACACAAAATCACACTCCATTTTCTCTCATATTTATTCAAAAATTATGGACTACAATGAACTGCTCCACTAATTATACATTTAATTAGCAAATGTGTTAGGTCAAAGGTCCTTCCTAGGAGATGCATGGCATGGAAGTGTTCTTGACACACGTATATCCCCGACACACAGGTTCACACGTATATCTCTCCAGGTAGTTTTTCCAATATTTCAAAATCAGTTCTTACCACCCCCACTGATCCTAAATTAGTCACCAACACACAAATAATAGTTTTTGAATGCCACACACTGCTTAGCCTCCTATATTTGATCCACCCACATAAATTCATGCCAAGTACCGTACTATTCGAACAACTGTTTAATATCTAGTCCTCGACTGCAGGTGAGGCAAGCAGTGAAGGACCAGTTTATTCATAAACTTTCACATGTTACAGCCCACAAATCTTGATTCAGCTCATCAAGGTCCCTGCCCTTGACCCTCATCAAAATGCAGACCAAATCCAACAGACAGACAGACTCAAATCTTTCTTTAATTGAATATTGCAACAAACATGTAAGATAAGACTAACTTGTAATGCAACTTCCTCATCCATAATACATCACCAATTTTATCTGCCCGTACTGCATTACAAGCTTAAACCAAGCAATCATCAAGACTTCATTTCTACATATTGACTACTCAATCCCACATTCAAAAACAACATTAAAACAAAATAATCGTACAAAAGTACTAGTGTAATACACAATCACTGGATATGGCTTTTTGTATCTCTTGCATGATGTAAAATGGCATTAACTTGAAGGACAATTGTGATTTTAACAAAGAAACATGTTAAGCTTGAGAAAAGCCAACGAACTAGTAATGGGTCCCGTAAAACAATTCCAATATTACTATTACTACCTCCACCCGCACCTTCTAGTTTTCATTTACAGTTTCAATGAAGTTGCCCCCCGTCAGA